TTATTTAATGCTAAAGTTATGTTCAACTCATTTCCAAAGTTAATTAATAAAATTCTGTTGCATCCACAAACGATTAACTGAAAAAACTACCAGCCAACTGAGAAAATATGAACACGATTCGGACAGATTTTCCTATATGTTTGATATTTTTTTCCGGACGAAGCCTTTAAAAACAGGACAGATCTGTCCGGAAAAAGGTCAAATTGGCATCACTGCTAACCATAGATCACAAATGCTTCTATAAGAGTTATTCCATAATTGTGAGCATCGCGTCCCCTGCGTACACACAATCAAACTTGATCTACCAAATGCAAATGCTGGGCTTTAACATTACTGCAGGCAGCAAGATACTAGCAAATACTAGAGACTTGTGCTTTGGCAAATAAATGTATATCCATGTTATAATCATAATCTGAAAGTTTCATGAAGATCGTATGTCAAAAAGGTTTTTAAACAATTAAGTTCTCATAGTAAGCGCACACTGAAATATCAGTTGCTCGAAGGGTTCAGGGGCTATTGTAGTCACTTGTTTTTTCCTAGGTCCGTGTATATTACGCGCATATCGAGTGTTTCTCTAAATATCAAAACTACTCCCGATATTTTATTATCGATTAAAAACCTTATCGAAAGATAATTATTTTATATCCTACACCATTAGAGCTTGAGCTTCCAAATTTTTAATGTGGATTTATATGTATTTTATATAATTTCGATTTTTGTTGTAATTTCTCCCCCACCTTTATATTCACACCTCACCCACACCGTTTTTAAAGGCGTATATCAAATACTAGAGACTTGTGCTTGGGCAAATGCATGCATATCTATGTTATAATCATAATGTGAATGTTTCATGAAGCTAGTCAATCGACAAGAAAAGCTATCAAACAATTAAGTTCCCATAGTAAGCCACCACTTCAGCTAATGCGTGTTTATGGGTGCGTGCGTCTATCTGTGTGCGTGTGTGTGTGCATGTGCGAAAGGTTCAGGGGATCTCGTAGTCAGACAGTCTCGACTAGAACTTTCTTACTTGTTTTACCTAAAGGGGATTGTATCTTCCATGTTCAGGAGCAAATACACATATCAAGGTAGCTTCCTTCTGCAAATTTGGTTTTCTATAGCAAACAAGCAAGAATGTTGCCGTCGACCGTTACCGGTTGCGGAATAGTCATTCACATGCCATCAGCAATTTAATAGTTTTTTTAAATTCTAATACTGTAGAAAATTTAGCTTTTTCCGATTTGCCTTATTTCTGGTCAGTTGTTAGAACGAGCTAACGGTAACCCAATTGCATAATTTGAATGCTTACTCTCCAAAAATGTGAAAATTACAGGGTATTTTTCGATATGCCACGTCCTTAAAGAGGCGTAAAAATTATTTTTGGGGCATCGATAGAAGAGGTTACTTGTAACTTAACTATTTATTTATTTATTCAATTTGAAGCTTCTGGCTATTATACTTTAGGTGATATAATCTTTTGCGGTTTGCCGCACCCTCTGTGGGCGGACATATATCTTTCGAAGCTTTTTGTGTGGTCAGCCCGAGTATATATACAAAAATTAAGGTCTCTACCATCAATAATGTCCAAAATATTGGAGAATTAAAAAAATCACTATATCTTCAGGTCCGATTTGCCACACTCCTAATGGGCGTAGACCTATAATTTTCTCATTAGACTTTATAGAATCATAACATTAGCTTACGTGCGAATTTTAGCATTCTAGCTATAATACTCTTGGAGATACTGTTTTATCCGATTTGCCACGCCCCCAATAGGCGTAGATATATCCGCCATAGCTCGGGATCTTGGGTGGCCGACGCGGATCTACATTCCAAATTTCAGCTATCTAGCTCTTCAACTAATATGATTTCTGGCATATCGGAAAATGCATTTTCTGAAAATTTTAACACTTTATAAATTGCAGATATACACAAGTATGTGTTCCAAATTTCAAGTCTCTAGCTTCAATGGCGCCGAAATATACTGCGTTCATACGGACAGACGGACAGACTGCAAGACGGACATTGCACGAAACCAATATACCAATTCACTTTTGTGAATGAGTATAAAAACTAACCAAAAATCGGCATAAAAACGCACAAAATCTACCCAAGAGGCCAAATTTGCATGTGGCTGCATGCAGTAGGTAGAAATTCTTACGGCAAATCGAAGGCTTGGGTTTGTTGGTAAAACAAACATTTTTTTACAAATAAATTTTTTTTACAGAAAAGTAAAATTTAAAAAAAAATATCATTTTCAGCAGATAATATTCACAACACAAAATGGGCTAATGTCTTACTGTGCGTCACCTAGGGCTGTCGAAAACTTTTAAAATATCGTATCGATAATATTTTAAGTTAAGTTAATATCAAAGTGATATTTGATATGCAACTTTAAAAAATCAATATATCAAAATATTTCGATTTTGTTTTAAATTTTTTTCCCTCAATAGATTTATAATCCGACCCAAAAAACAAATATAATAGGTATACGTATTTTTTTTTAATGATAAAGAACGCTTAACTCTAGTATTCGGTACTGTCGTTGACAACACATTTTATTGCCGAAGCAAGTCGCTCCAAAGGCACTGAACTGGGATAGGCATCGTAATGCGATCGTCAATATTCCTGGCACAGCCGCCATATTTTCCCTTTCACCATATTTGATTCTTTTACTTTGTGCTTGCGAGTGACCAACTCAGATATATAAATAAATCGGAAAAATATTCGATACCTTGCCAAAAAAATATAATTTTAAAAAAAATCGATATATTGATAATTCGATATATTTTGGGCAATCCTACCGTCGCCTTATATGAAGGACAACACCTGCAGCATTTCATAATTAGCAAAAATATTTGGACGAATAACTTTAAAGAAATAAGAAATACTGAGATAAAACAACGGAAACACAGGAAATACATCGAAATCTACATTAAAATTTAAACTCTGGCACTAATTGCAAACTAACGAGGGGACCGAAATGTATGGAGCTTTCACGTATTATCAAATTTTGTAATGGCTATTGCGATTTTTGATTTTTGTATTTTATCAGTTCTAATCGCATTTTTATGTCCTAGCATTTATGTTAACTCAAATATAATTTAATCGATTTGTGGTTCAATTATTTCAGTCACTGTGCATTTTATTTTTAATTTCGTTTTAACAATGGAGCGACCGCAAATGTTCTTGATATTGTTGCTGTGGTATGTGGCACATGGCACATGGTTCATGGCGCATGGTACATGTCACATGCCACATGCCACATGCCACATGCCGCACATAGTGGCTTTATCTCAATGCCAGCTCATAAATAAAATGTGTTAGTTAGTTTATCATCAACTGGCAGCGATTTTGCATCGCGGTTACTGCGGCCGCAGCAACAATTTTATTATTAATGTGAAGCTGTGAGCTTTTCCCTGTTTAACTGGGCGCATGCTTAATAAGCCAATGCAGCTGGCTAGACGACGCTAATCAAATACGAAATTAACCGCACAATGGAGCGACAGTCAGCATCACCACGGTGAAATGTGTCGCGGAAGCGGGAGAGCAAAGATAAAAAATCTCTGGAATTCAAAAGAATGTTTTCATTTTGTATACTTTTCTTTTGATATGAATTGAAATAAAGCAGCAAAGCGTAAAAGAGAAATGGAAGCTTGAGCTGGCCCCAAAACCCCACAGCCAACGGTGAACTCGCATTTACCACCAGCAATGACTATAGCAGCGACTGCAGTAGCAATAGCAGCAGCAACAGAAGCAGGAGCAGGAGCAGCTGCTTTTGAAATTGAAGTGGCTGCAGTGCAGCTGCAGGCGCTCGGCTTCTGGGAACTGCGATGCGTTAAGTTCCTGACTTTAAAATAATATGCCTTTGTGGATTTTTTTTTTTTTTTTTTTTTTTTTTTTTTTTTTATGCCTTATTTTGTGTGCATGGCAGGTAAATTGTTTAAAATTAATGCGGTGCAGACAACGGTTAAAAATGCATGCATAATTTCCTCCTTTATTTTTTTTATTTAACTTAATTTTTTATGCTCTTAACGCATTTAACTAGCAAACGGCGCACGGAACACAATGCGAATTCACTTGCCATGGCCATGGCACATTAATCCCGGATAAAAACCCACTTGACTATTAATGAAAATTAAACGATTTTCGAGTGGCCGCAGTTAAGAGAATATTATGGAAAATTAAATCGCGGGCACATGCAAATGAGACGGCAGCAAGTACTCATTAATACATAATCAGCGTTGTAAAGAATTGATAGGTCGTTCGACTTAACATACCATATATACATATATATATATATATATATATATATATATATATATATATATATATATATATATATATTTATTTATTTATTTATTTATTTATGTTGTTTCTAACAAAGGTGAAAGGTATATAACTAAATATGAAGCCAGATGAGTACACGTGGTCCACAGCATAAATCATAATAAATACATGAGATACGAGAAACCGTTGATTGAGTCCAGCTAGGCAATTTAGGGCGATTTTTATATCATTGAATCATAGTGTTCGCTTGACTCGCCTAAAATTCGCGATCTCGCGCCTCGTCTTCTGCTAACATCATTCTCATCTTATTATCGATGGCATTTTTTATTACTATCGATACCTAGCTATAAGTATATTGATACATAGCCTTCAAACGAATTTAATATCAACTATTGCTGAATCACATTATTACATTCAAACATTTCACACAAATTTTTTAAGCAATCTTTCGGGTAGAGCAGAACGTATGCCCCATGGAACTATTCATATGACTAATGACTGGCACTTAGTTGCTGACATAAATTTCGTTAGTTGCGAGATAAACAATGACCCAAGGCTACTGTAGTTGCTGCGGATGCAAATGTGGGGCAGTTTGCACATTTTAATTACGATTTTCAATTAGGGCAGAGATAGCAGCGATACACAAAACCAATTTGCAATTGGCGCTGGCTAAAATCTCACTCGATTTCTCTTTGCTTTGCATTCGCACACAGATATTGCTGTATCCGGAGGAGGGCTGGGCGCGCACCGCCTCATCCAGCTACTGGACCATCACGCCCTGCTGGTGGCAGCCGAACCGTTGTCGCATTGTAGAGTGCGCTGGCACGCAGCGGCAGGCGACCAAGGCCAGGATGCTGCCCATGAACCAGCAGGGCTCTCTGCTGATTGCCGGACACTTTCGCAGGCCGTCAATAACATCGACAGGCGGTGCTGCAACAGTCGCAACAATGGCAGCAACAACAACGCCACCATCAACGGCTGGAAGGACAACAGCAGCAGCGGCAGCGGCAGCAGTCGGAGCAGCAGCAGGAGCCATATCTCGAGGAGGAGGAGGAGGAGCCGCTACTGCTGGCCCAAATAGTAGCTCGCAGTCAAAGTCGAAGTCACAGCTGGCATACAATGATGAGTTCAAGCTGTATCTGACATCGAACATATCGATGGAGGACTACAACATGGGCTACTGTCTAACTGGATTCGTCGAGCGTCGCTGCCAGCTGACAAACACCTTTCAAATGACGCACTTTGCTGTTATCAAGCGGCAATGGCCGCCACCGCCGTCCAAGCTCACCAACTCATAGGCATCCTGGCATCCAGGCCCCCAGGGATCCCTCTAGCCACGCCCACTTAGTACGTAGCAACATTGTAAGTTGGAGTATACACTGTGCATACTCTCTATTCTCTAACCTAGCCATTAAGTAGTGAAATTTCGCAATGCTGTGGCCAACGTGATAGCAGAAAAAATGCAATACGAGAAGTGCAGCATACTTTTCAGCGCGGTGTAAAAATATTGAACTTGTAGAAACCGCAAGCGCTGGGCACTTTGTCGCCACATTTTTTATTTTTGCTATAGCAACTTCTATATGTGTACTAGTGCGTAATTTGTAATTTTAACTAAATGCTCTAAACGTGCTTACTTCGTGTGCTTTCGATGTTGTGCAAACAACGAAACCGAACAAAACAAAAAACAAAACTTTAAAACATTAAGCAGTGTAAAGTAAAATCAAAATATTCAAAAGCAGTACGCTTCGGTATACCGAAGACGGAATACCCTTGCAGGAATTTCATTTTATTACATTTATCGCGATTCTTGGTCAAGTCGAAAGGACCAATGCAAGGGTAGGACTAAAGCCGAAAACAAATAACTGCAAAATACAAATACTAGATGCTTTTAAAAGCTAAAATACAACTAAACCGCTTTGCCGGCCAACGCACACGCACAAATACACACACATTGCATTGCACACTCACTCACACACACTTACAAACACACATTCCATTAAAGCCAGGGCAGCTACTTAATGCTTAAAAAGTGCAACAAATTGAAACTTGTGCTTGTCGAAGCATATGATTGTGTGCCAAGTAGAGTTTGTGTGTGTGAGTGCATGAGCTTTTTTGTGTAAGTATTTGTGATTGTATGTCCATGTTTCTCTCAACTACGTAAACCACCATGTTCAAGCGTATTGCCTTTAAGCTTAAAATATGCGCAGCTTAATAAACAAATTTTCCTGTTATTTTCATTAACGAGCATTAAGGCTCATCATCATCAATTAATACCGGCATCACATGGCATTAAGGCCAACACACTTTTTCTGTTCACACTTTATTTGAAATACGAAATTTCATTGTAACCATTTTAGATCTATTTTGAAGGCTTATTTAATGCTCATTAATTGAATTAAACTTTTCATGTAACAGGAAATATTTATAAACAATTTTCATTTATATTTACTTTTAGATTTCCTAGCATACATATTATGGTTTTATATTTGAAATATTTCTGATTCCACGAAAAAGTGCTACTGCTCTCTAGCTCTTTACTCCACGCTATACTCTACTCAAGACAAGTCTGTCAAAATTTTCACTAACACACACTCTCACATACTCTATTTCTGTGTCTATCTCTCTCACTTTTTGAGCATAAACCGCAACGTATATCAACAATTCGTCCAATAATTGGAGTCTTTCGGCGCAACAAATGGCGCTCACGCCAATCAAGGCCGAAACTCCAATTGCCAAAACCCTAAGTGTTAAAAACAAATGGTAAAAGAAAAATGTAAACCAAAGCTATTTAAGACAAAAATAAAGCTACAGCTAGGCTAAGTGCTAGACATTAATAAAAACTTTAATAAAAACAAATAACAAAAATATTTACAAGATAGTTTATATATATGATATATACCTATATAAGCTATTAATATGATAAACTATTTATGTGTGTGTAGGCTTGAAGTGAACTCAAAGTTTTTGCCATACTTGTATCGGTGTGTTTAGATATATATACCATATATATGTATATATGCTAGGAACTCAATCACTAACATTTTTTGCTGTAGGGCATTGCTCGCTTTTAGGCGCTTTTACACGCAGGAGAAACCACGGAGAAAAACAAATCCAAATCAAAAAAAAATATATATACATATATATTAAAATCAATAAACTTTTATTTATACATATATTATTATACAAGGCCTATAATAAATGCGCTATCATTTGCTCTTACTCACAGCCTGTCCCAGTAATTGATATTCAAGTATCAGGTACCTGCAAAGAAAAACAAATAAATTATATTAATAAATGTGAAACAAATTGCCAAAAACGGAAAATAGAATGCAAATATTTGAACAGTCCCAAGTCCAAAAATTTAACCAGGTAGCACCTAAACCAACTAATAAATTTTTTCTAAATATACACAATCAAAATGTTTTCTATTATACAAATCCCATGGCACATACACACACACAGGCACACGCGTGCATTTTGATGTTGTTGTTGATTTCTATGTGTCTAGGTGAATGCGTCTTGGTGTGTAGCATATTTATCAGCGCTTATCTTAGGGCCGTACTTCAAACTTAAATAATGAACTGGAAAGAGAAAAACATCAAAGCATAAACATAAAAAATAAGAAAATACAAGAAAAATAATAGAATATCATTCGTGGAGGACACGCACTGAGCTTCTTTCTAGCGAACGGTAGACTAAATATAAATAGTTTCCAACTAGAATCATTTTAAAAAGCAACCAGAACAAGTCAAGCATGTGCGCTGCGCAGAGGGGCCTCAAATTACAATTAATTCATTAAATTAAGCTTGTATTAAATTAATTACATAAATGGAAATGTTTGTACAATTAAGAAGCATTTGTCGGCAATCGAAAATTACTGCAAATACAAAATAAAACTCGATCACTAAACTGAAATCAGAAAACAAATTTAATAACAACCATTAAAAAGAACAGAACAATTAAAAGTACTCTCAAATGAACTGACAGGTAATACCCTGTAGCCAGCCTTTGAAGCTTATTATTGACTCGGTCTTTGAGTTTTGTCCTTTTCTTTCAATCCAAATATATATCTCCTTTAATTAATAATAATTAAAGAACTTGAAGTCATTTTCAGAATCATCAAAGATCCAAGATATTCTGAAAATTTTATAAGCAAAGTTGAGCAAAAACCAAATATCCAAAATTTCGACATATGCCCCTTTCTGGGACAGGGTATTACTTGGCAATAAAAAAAATGTAAGTATTTTCTAATAAAACGTTGTGTGCAGAAAAGCAAGTGAAGTAGTTGTGGCCCGGTGCAAAAATAGAAAATTCGAAGAATGTATTATAATAAACAAAAGAAGTCTAAAAGCATAGAAAATAAAGCAAACATCAAAAACTAAGAAAACATATGTTTTACTTTATGTTCACTGAGTATTTATGCATTCTACGAAAAAAAAAAAAATCCTTAAAATGTGAGTATAATGTATTATATTTTATATTAATTGCCCTTATTAAGAACGTAATCACAAATTATTTAAAAAAGAGATTTTTTGGTTTTCATATTATTGAATAGTTTTACTTTCTAACTAAAGGAAAAGCTCAGATAATTCACAGCATATGGAAAGAGACTGGACATGCTTGCCCTTCTCTGCACAGCGTTTCGCTTTTGAGTTAGTCTGAAAAAATATTTGATTTGATTCCCCTAAAAACTGAGCGGTTTTCAAAAAGAAGAATTCACAACGTCTCTTTTTTCCAATTTCCCTTGTCTTCCGAATCTTTTATTTCAATAATGGAGCTCTTTGTCTTTTTCGCGTTCAGCTTTAAATTGAAATTAGCATTTTTATACTCATTCACGAAAGTGAATTATTATACTCATTCACGAAAGTGATTTTTTCGATCCGCCCACTAGGGGCGTGGCAAATCGGAAAAGGAATTTTCCGATATGCCAGAAATCATATTAGTTGAAGAGCTAGAAACCTGAAATTTTGAATGTAGATCCGCATCGACCACCCAAGATCACGAACTATGGCAGATATATCTACGCCCATTGTGGGCGTGACAAATCGGATAAAACTGTATCTCCAAGAGTTTTACAGCTAGAGCGCTGAAATTTAGCACGTAAGTTAATGTTATGATTCTATAAAGTCTACTGACAACATTATATGTCTACGCCTATTAGGGGCGTGGCAAATCGAAAGATATAGTGATTTTTTAAATTCTGCTATATTTTGGACACTATTCATGCCAGAGACCTAAAATTTTATATTTGTGGCAAACCGCAAAAGTTTATATCTCATAAAGTACAATAGCTAGAAGCTTCAAATTTAGATAATTAAGGTACTAGTACTATGGCAACTATGGTACTAGATGGCAACGTTCTTAGTTGTTTAATTTGCCAGAGCTGCAACTTCATTCAACTATTCCGATTCGGTTCTTTTGCTCGATTTTATTGCCGACATTTCAGCTGTTTTCTGATTTCGATATGTAAATTAATTAAATTGATTTTACATGCGAGCCACGTTTTTTAGTTCGCTTCTCTATCTATCGCTCTCTCTCCCTCTCTGTCTTCACTGCTTTCAAGCTGAATACACTAACAAAGAGAAAAGCAAACCGAATTCGCATTTCAATTACAATTTCTATGGCAGCAGCGCTTTTCATAATTATATCTCCAATCGGAAAACTCGCAATTACAGTTTTCATTGCCGCTGCCGCTTGTGGAGCATCGCTTTGTTTGCATGGGAGCTATGTGGGAATGCGCGTTTTTGATTTATTTGTTTCAGTTTTTTGCGCAATTAAGTTTATATTTACATGCGATATATGTATGTGCTCGATCGGTCCGAATAGATATGTAACACAGTTTGAATTTCCCCCGTTTTTTATTAAATCAACATTATATTATTTTATTTTCCTTGCGTTTTGTGCTGAAACTGTTTTGTCTTTTACAGAGACATGCTGCAAATTAAAGAGGTCTATCTGGGGACAACGCATTTCAATTAATATCCGTTTCATTTGAAAAACTATTTTTGATTTAATTTGTTATACCCTGAACCCATTGAAAATGGGAAATCAGGGTATAATGGTTTTGATAAAAGTTTGTATAAGGCAGAAGGAGGCGTGGCACACCCCACAAAGTATATATATTCTTAATCGGGACGACGAGCTGAGTATATACCACGCGGATATGGAGTTTTGCTTCGAAAATCGATAAATTACCCCGTTATTTTTTTATCGATTAAAAACATTATCGAAAACCAGTAAAAGATGTTGACGGCTTCCAACTATCCAGGAATCCTTATCAGGGCGTTTGGAATACAAACAATATAAGACCCTGGGCAAAAGCATAAAAAAGATTTTTAAGTCGTTTTGTAAATATTAATTTCGTAAGTAGAACGTAACATTATGTTTAAGAATTTCATTTTCAGAACATGTAAATTTAATATCTGTACGAATTTGTATACCCTGAACCCATTGAAAATGGGAAATCAGGGTATAATGGTTTTGTTGAAATGTATGTAACAGGCAGAAGGAGGCGTGACAGACCCCACAAAGTATATATATTTTCTATCAGGGCAATATATCATATCAATATATTATTTTATATGCAACTATAAAAATATCGATATATCAATATTTTTGGATTTCTTAAAAACTTTTTTCCCACAAAAAATATATAGTCCGCACCAAAAAAATAAAAAACAAGTAAGAAGGCTCCAGTCGAGACTGCTCGACTAGGAGATACCCTGAACCCTCCAAGCTGATATTCTAATCATTCTGCACTTCTTTTATGCACACATACATACACATGCACTTATAGGCACGCGCTCTGCTAACTGCGACTGCGCTTGGGCTGCGCTGCAATGTGCAATATTATGACAATTTATATGTTGAATAATTTCTTTTGTAGACATACAATCTTTATGAAACTTTCAGAGCGTAATCATATGGTTAAAATGTGTGTACATTCCAAAGCACAAGTCTCTAGTACTTGAAATGCGTTTTTTCCAAATTGGGGGCGAAGGGGGCGTGGTATCCAAAATCTGTAAATTACAAAATCTTTGTGTCCATTAACTCTATATACAACGCAAGTTTGAAGTCTCTAGGTTTAAAAGTGTTCAAACTAGGCTGAAAAAACCAAGTCGATTTTTCGATTATTCTCGATAAAAAAGCTATCGGATGAGTTATCGAAAAAATAAAGCAAACTCGTACTGCCTATGGTATACACGAGTATGCATGCCAAATTTCAGCTCTCTAGCTCTTATATCTTCTGAGATCCTTTTGCTCATACGGACGGACGGACGGACGGACGGACGGACAGACGGACAGGGCTATATCGACTCAGCTCGTCGTCCTGATCAAGAATATATATACTTTATGGGGTCTGCGATGATTCCTTCTGCCTGTTACATACTTTTCACAAAACCATTATACCCTGATTTCCCATTTTCAATGGGTTCAGGGTATAAAAAAAAAGCAAAAATAAAACAAGTAAGAAGGCTCCAGTCGAGACTGCTCGACTAGGAGATACCCTGAACCCTCCAAGCTGATATTCGAATCATTCTGGACTTCTTTTATGCACACATACATACACATGCACTTATACGCACGCGCTCTGCTAACTGCGCAGTAAGCAGCGGCTGCGCTTGGGCTGCGCTGCAATGTGGGCAATATTATGAGAATTTATTTGTTGAATAATTTCTTTTGTAGACATACGATCTTAATGAAACTTTCAGAGCGTAATCATATGGTTAAATTGTGTGTACATTCCAAAGCACAAGTCTCTAGTACTTGAAATGCGTTTTTTACAAATTGGGGGCGATGGGGGCGTGGTATCCAAAATCTGTAAATTACAAAATCTTTGTGCCCATTAACTCTATATACAACGCAAATTTGAAGTCTCCAGGTTTAAAAGTGTTCAAACTAGGCTGAAAAAACCAAGTCGATTTTTCGATTATTCTCGATAAAAAAGTTATCGGATGAGTTATCGAAAAAATAAAGCAAACTCGTACTGCCTATGGTATACACGAGTATGCATGCCAAATTTCAGCTCTCTAGCTCTTATATCTTCTGAGATCCTTTTGCTCATACGGACGGACGGACAGACGGACAGGGCTATATCGACTCAGCTCGTCGTCCTGATCAAGAATATATATACTTTATGGGGTCTGCGATGATTCCTTCTGCCTGTTACATACTTTTCACAAAACCATTATACCCTGATTTCCCATTTTCAATGGGTTCAGGGTATAACAATAATAATAAGAATATATATTTTTATACCCTGAACCCATTGAAAATGGGAAATCAGGGTATAATGGTTTTGTGAAAAAGTATGTAACGGGCAGAAGGAGGCGTGGCAGACCCCGTAAAGTATATATATTCTTGATCAGCGCGATGAGCTGAGTCGATATAGCCCTGTCCGTCTGTCCGTCCGTCCGTCCGTATGAGTGCGTCGATCTCAGAAGTTATAAGAGCTAGAAAGCTGAAATTTGGCATGTATACTCGTGTATACCATACGCAGTACGAGTTTGCTTTATTTTTTCGATAAATCATCCGATAACTTTTTTATCGAGAATAATCGAAAAATTGATTTTGTTTTTTTAAGCCTAATTTGAACACTTTCAGACCTAGAGTCTTTAAATTTGCGTTGT